CTCATCCTAATCTGTGCCCACTTTGTTGTGACACCCATCCCATCTCACCAGATAGGGGGAGTGAATGCAGGACCACATGGTCCCACTGTGGGTCAAACCACCACACCTTCTGAAAGAGTAAACCCTGAGAAATTAGAAATTAAAAGATTTATAGATCCCTTAGTTGCTTGATTAATTAGATTTAGACATCACCCAGCTGTTGTAACAACCTTTGAATAAAACTGCTGATAACCATGGAATGAGCATTTATCACCTAGTTGTTTGATATTTACATATGCTAACAACCTTTGAATGAAATTATATCCGTCCTCACAAATTGATGAACAAACATTCTTCAAGGAATACTGTCCCAAGCATGTAAAAGAGACACCACTGTGAAGAATCAAAGAGGAGTTCAATCAGCAGATACAGTGATGAAAGCTATAGAAGGCCACTGACTCATTTTACTGCGCAAGCTACAGTAAATGTTTTGAATATGTAGATAATTTCTCAGAATTTCAATGAATATACATGTATTAGGTCAATATAACGTGCTGAAACAAAGATGGATACACACACCTTGGGGAAGCAATCTCTGTGTGCGTCCAGTGCTGCAATAAAGCATACCTGCTTTCCAAAACTCTAAAATGAGTCTTAGAAGAGTTTTTCTGACTGGCTTTCTCGGTATCACTTCCATCTTGAGTACCTGGACTTGTCTCAGCCTTCCACCTCTCAACAGTACATCTGCTCTCAAATGAAGTTTTTATAGTACAATGTGACATTTGTCATTGGTCTAGCTCCTGCTTCTTTGCAGGAAAAAAATAATTATAATCCAGCCTAGGAAAACACTGCTTGAATACTGAGGACAGCATTCAAAGAATCTATGTGACCTTAAGAAAAGCCAAACTCCACACCAAAAGCAAACATAGTAGTTACCCTGAATAGGTTGGTTCTTAGTAGCCATTGTCTGAAGTTTTTTAACTATATTGAGTATTAATGTCTATGGACTGCTCACCATTACACTATGTTGTTCTTGAAATGCTGACATAATTTCAAACATATACTGCAGCTGGATTTTGTCCAATTGGCCTCACCACAGTAAACACTGCTCTAAAAGTGAAGCAGATAAACTTAAAATTGTCATTTCACAGAGAACGGGTAATCAAATATTCCTGCAGGGTATCGTTAGTTCACTAACTCAGATGGCCTATATAGTCCACAGTTTGTCTATAGTGTAATTCACAGCATGTCTGTGCCTGCATCACCACATCTGGGATGTCACTGTGGAAACAAAGAGTCCTGGCTCATAACTCAGGGATATCGTAGGATCGGAGGACAGTTTGGGTTGGAAGGGACTTCAGGGTATTTCTAGCCCAGCCTCCTGCTCAAAGCAGGGTCACTATGAGATCAGACCCAGTTGCTCAGGGTTTTATCCAAAAAGAACACTAAAACCTCCAAGGATCTCTGGGCAGCATGTTCCAATGCTTATTTGTCCTCTGCATTAGTAATAATGAATGCATTAGAGTAAAACAGAAGGCTCTCCATTACAAGTGATTTCACTCCCTGCCAGGTACATTATGTGAATGAGATCCAGCAGGGCAAGCCAGTAAGAAGATATAAAAAATTAGATTATTTACATACTTTTCAGCCAATGAAAATCATGTGCCAAGCATCCATTCTTTTCAAATCTCAAGGAAAAATACATTAAAGGATGTCTTTGAAACAATCTGTGAAACTGACTTAAAATTTCAACCCATGTACTGAAGGGCTGACCTGCTGTAGTAGTAGTACATTTTCCCAGGAACAATTAATTGATGTTGGAAGAGAGGAATTAAATTTTCAGAAGAACAAAAAAATTCTGCAACAATCCAATGTACCCTTAAAAAAACAAAAAGCCATCTAGGAAAGTCCATGATCCACAAGCAAAATAAGAAATAAAGGGACAAGCCAATTTAATCTTACCTCAGCCTCACAAAGTGCCCGAAGACCCTCTAACACTATAGCAGCAGGTGAAGCTTGATCAGGTTTTGTGCATTCATTTAATACCTGGGAAATTGCAGCCAACATGTCTGCTCCATGCTGGTATGGCCTAAAGGAAAAAAAACACGAAGGTACAAGGCAATATTCATGCATACACACAATTTCTATTCTATACACAAAAATTCATTACGTATTGGTTTTGTTTAAGAGACAGCTAAAACAGACAAAAACTGGGTAGGGAAAAAAAACATACAAGAGAGGATACGATACAAAGCTCTAAAATGTGAGTGACATTGAGAATTAAATCAGCAGGCATCAAGTTCCAAATAACAGATCAAGTGCTGATCTTAAGTTATGGAAGTTTTTGTCCAGGGATGTTGTGTATGCTAAAAGATTACATCATTCAAGGGGTGACTGAGAAGGAAAATCCACATGTGCTAATAAAGACATTATTCTTTGTTTCTTTGTTGCAGTCTTCTGTAAGTACTCACTACTGTGTATGGGTGGAGAATGTAGCAGCAAAAGACTTTTGGCTCTAGATAGGAACATTTTTCCATATCTTTTGCTGCTGCAATATAATTTGTCTCTCTTTCAATGACTGCATGGGATGCCTGTTTGCTTCCAGTCTTTTAGTATCCATTCAGTTTTATTGGGAGGTGAAGGGGGGCAAGTGTATGTGTAAACTGCTGTATCAACAGTTCCTCATACTGTTTCTGTAAGAACTTGGGGTAAACATCACCTGGTTAGGTGATTTATATGCATAGAACATTCAGGCCTCCTCTATTTGCTCTCACTTTCTTACAATATTTTCTAAACACACGATGAACATGCATACACCTGAACTCTAACTATACCAGTTACCTGTCAAAAAGAATATTACACCTGTAGCTGCATGGAGATTTATCTTTCACTTTTCACTTCTTTTTTAATTTCTTGAAAAATGCTGTTTGTAGAAATTAAAGAATGTTGAAAAGGTAAAGGAAAGGGTATTTTCTTCAAGAATTTGTCTTTTTAGTTGATGATTAAAAGATACATGAATCTTCCCAGCTGTTAGTAACTGACCTTCAAGAAGAAGAGTGAAAAGTGGAACCCAAAAGATAGGTGATAAAGAAAAAATATGGCACTATGCACATAAAACCAGGAAGTAACTGATAATGTGTTTTAAAATAATCTTCACAGGGACTATAAATTATTATAATGATATTATTATACTGATATTCAAGGATTGCTAGAGCTGGAAAGGATCAATATATCATCCAGCTAGACTTGTACAACTGTGTTCTGCAGTCCATATTATATCTGAATAAAGACCAGTAGTTTGCATGTGACAAAATATACCTTTTAGAAAAGCACCCTATCTTTCTTGGAATATATCAAAAGATAACCAGATCATTAGTTGTTTCTTTCAGTGTTTCATCACTTTCTTTTTATAGTTTGGAAGTGGTATGCTTTAAGTTTTTACTCTGGATCAGTATAGGATGCATGTTTGTTTCAGGATGAAGACATTTTAATTTTAACATTTTTATTAGTTATAATATAAACCCCAAAACTTACTAGCTGCTGAGATTAGCAATGCCATACGACTAGAAAAATATTACCCAAACTTAACATAACAGAGTAGGTAAAAATAATAATGCTGGTTTTCCAAAAACTCCCTCTGTTTTCCCTTACAGAGCCAAAGATGGACAACACTTGCGCTTACCTCTTCCTGCATATATCTCTTATACAAGCAGCTTTAGCAATCAGCTTTTCCCATTGAGCATCTTTGTCAACAGACAAAGAAGGCGTATCAGACATCACCAAGTACTTCTGCAATTCTGGGTAAATTCGATCCTAGAAAAGATTTAATTTAAAAATTATCTTCACACCTTCAAAAGTTGGTGACAGGATTTTTAATTGCTAGCACTTCAGCATTACTTCTAAATACCACTTTTACTGCATACCATACTTAGTTTTTCTGCATTATTAAAATCTAATGTTGCACTGAGATCTAACTGGCTTTTGCACACCAAATCTCTGTTCCTACTTTATAAACAGAGAAACAAATTATTGCCATGTAACTAAAATCTTGTTCTTACTGCACATTATGAAAAGCAGAAAGCTGTCCTTCAAACATTCTTTTTCCTAATTCCAGTCTAAGACCTGATGAAACAAAAGGCAGGTTTAATGAGAGAGATACTACTGAAATTTTTCACTAAAACAGAATCAATATAGTTCTTTCACCATCCACTTTCCCACTTACTTTACACTGCTGATAATGAGATACTAGCACAAACTATGTTCGAAAATTAATTTCCTTCCCTGGTTAAGAGGTAATGAACTTTTTCAACTACACTTATCTTAGTGACACCACAAGAATTTTCTAACCTGTCTTTCCCATAAGGATGTCATCAGTCGCAAAGTAATTGCTCTAAGCTTTGGCATGCTCCCCAGCATGTGTATGGCACGTATACATGTATTTACACAAACCTGAAAGAAATTTTTCAACCAAATGTCACTGTTATTTTTTTATGTCCAAGAAGAGACCTAATCTACAAATCATTATTTTACAACCAAGTACAAGGAGAAAACTGTCCAGCTGTAATGTCAGAATGAAACCAGAAGTCATTTTCTGAAAAACTTCACTGCATAACAAGTTCCAGAGCATCATCTTATGATATATATATATATATCTATAAAATGATGACACAGAGCAGAAAATAAAGCATAATGTACATTTCACTCTTTAAAACAAATATCATATCCCATCCAAAATACTATAGTCATGCTGAAGCTTACAAAACAGTTATTTTAATCCATGCATTGCTCAGTCTGAATAATTTTTCAAAAGTATATTACCTTTTACTGATAGTTTTTGTTTTATTAAAAATTTTTCATTCTCACCTTGTGTACACCCAGTGTAGGCAATGTATACAATATATCCCTGTAAAGTGCAGGTTCCAAAGGTCTTCCTAACTTAAATATCAGCACAGGGATCAGATTTGGGACCTAAAACAAAACAAAAACAGGAAATAAACTTGAAATAGCCTACCAGCATGGTATCTTGTGGAATGGTATCTTTTTGCATTTTTTTTTCTGCTAATAGGAAATAGAAAGGAAAATTCTAAACTATGTCATTTCATAGGACTTACAATTTATTTATTTTTAAGTTATCATCTTAAAAGCACCTTTTTATGCAAGTACAGCTGTAACCACTGCGATAATCTTATTTCCACAATAAATTGACTTTTACTTGAAATTCCATACTGAAAATAACATTTAATTGTAAAACACAGAATCACTGAATTGCCTAGATTGGAAAAGACTTTTATGATCGAGTCCAATCATTAACCTAGGACTGACAAGTCCCCAACTAAACCATGTCCCTAAGCACTATGTCTACACAACTCTTAAATATCTCCAGGGATGGGGACTCCACCACTGCCCTGGGCAACCCGTTCCAATGCCTGAGAACCCTTTCAGGAAATAAAATTTTCCTAATATCCAATCTAAATTTCCCTTGGTGCAACTTGAGGTAATTTCCACCTGTCCTATCACCTGTTACTTAGGTGAACAGACCAACTCTCACCTCTATACACCCTCCTTTCAGGTAGCTGTAGAGAGCAATAAGGTCTCCCCTCAGCCTCCTTTTCTCCAGGCTAAATAACCCCAGTTTTCTCAGCTGTTCCTCATAAGATTTGTGCTCTAGACCCTTCACCAGCTTCGTTGCCCTTCTCTGGACACA